ATTGATCTAAAGGCACTGGGGGGCAGCGGAGGATCCAGTTCTTCCCATGAAGAATACAGCAGCAGTGAGGGCTCATGGAGCTCCTTTAAGTCAAAAAAACCGAAAAGCATCGTCACCGAGGAAGTCTATGAGGAGAGGAGGCATAAACAGCGTAGTGGGGACAGCGGTGATGGCGACAGGTCCGGTGAATCTGCTGGGGAAATGGAGAGCTTCACAAGGCGAAAGGCAAAGCAGCGGTTTGGACAAGAAATGAACAAGTGATACAGCTACGGACCAGCTGAAGGCCTGCATCAATATGAAGGTAAAGATGGTGCTAGGTGAGGGAGACCCCTACCCCAGGGTTTAGAAGTGGTGTGTGAGGACTTCCTGGGCGATTATGGACTGGCCCCCACTGTACACTCCAGGGGAGTGTGGCCTTGGGAAGGTGGGGAAGGCACCTGGCAGAGCAGAGAAATATACCTGAGCTGTGACTGTGCTTTAATTCCCACCTTTAGTGTTTTCAACCTCCCTCCCTCATGCATACCAACAAGTAAACAGATTTGAATATGTACCACATGTGCGAGCATATTTATCAGGTTGGAATACAAGCTTGTTAATTCTCAGACTTTTGTTTGGCATGAGTTCACTTTGTGCTCATCATGGAGCAAAGTGTTACAGGGTTTTACTCTTCCCATGGCCAAAGACCATGGGTCCAAGAATTAGCTTCCATTTGCCTCTCAATAAAATAAAGAGATGTATAAGAAAGGAGTCCCTATTTGTGATACACTAGAGTTGGAAAGCATCCGCAAATGGCAGCATAAGAACTACAGGAACATGGGTGTCCCTTCGCCCTCCCCCTTCCTCCATCACTCTTCACAGGCTGTGCTCTCTTTCCCTAGGAGTCACCTTGTCGGAATGAAGCCTGTAATATTTTCAGAATGGAGACATCTCATGGATTTCAATTGCTTCTCATACTTGCCCTTTCAGATGCCTAAGCCTAACATTTATTAAAAATACCCTCTTTCCAATAAAAAGACAACATTCTGCATCATTAAGTTTTGACTCTTGAAATCTCATGTACTGGCTGGGAGGGATTCCTGCAATTAACAGTTCCACAATTAAAGGAAGTGACCTTCTTGTGTCAATATTTTGAAGAGTATTCAGAAACCCATTGTTTAATAGAAAGCACTGAAATTCTGCCAGTCACTGTATGGACCACATATCCTAAATCTCCTCATGACCCTATGCCTAGTGGGACTTCAAGCTGGCAACCTAGGAAATGTCAGAGAAGACTTATTCCAATAGGCCATGGTAAATTCCTCATCTACTGGTGCCTACAGTCCCATCAGTCCACAGAAGTACATCCTTGTACTTGGTTCAACTATCTTGCTCATGGTATACATCCCTTTAAGATTCAATGCCCTAAGTGTGATACATGAAGTATCTACATCTTATACAAAGAGAGTATGCTAAACAACACCATCAGTGGAGACACACACCAGAGGCACAGCTGTGATGGCTAGAGAGGGTGTCTTCAAGTGCACCCTCTGATGCACATATGCCTTTCTTTGAGTATTTAATAAGGCTCCAGAGGATAAATATTCAAAAGTAAAAACATCACAGCCTGATGGATGAGAAGTTTGGTTTCCACATGTACCATAGGAACACACTTATCTTCAAACAAATCTTTATTTTCTTTAAAATTAAATCTCCAGGGTCTACATGGATATAATGTTAGTATATTAATTTCAAACCTCATTACAGCATCAAGGATGACACAGACAGAGGCCAGGACACGTCTGTGATTCCACAAACATCACTGACAGATTCTCAGTCAAGGACATGCTTGATCTTTGTACAGAAAGGAGAGCGATTCTAAGTGTGTGCAAATGGCAACTGATCTGCCTGTGATATTGTGAGAACAGGGTCTCATGCCCAGAGGACAGAGCCACTGCACCAGGACTCTGGGATTGTAGCCATCTCTGTATTTACACATCCCTCACAGCTA